GGCTGGGCAGGGCTCCCACCTGTAAGCACACCTGGCCCCCGTCTCGGGGTGACCCCAAGCGCTGAGACCCTGGCTGCTGCCTGTCTGGCCACGCCCCCGCTTCCCCTGGACTTTTGACCACCACCGCCCTGCGCCGCTCCAGCCCGGGTGCACCCTCTGCCCCCACACGCCCTTCCCGGGGATGGCAGCAGCTTAGGAAACAGGTGCCCCAGACTGCCCCACACCGACGGCCCACTGCCCGGCCAGGACACCCCAGCTCCATGGCAGGTTACTAGAAACACTTCCAATCCAGCCCTCCTTGGGGCATCCTGGTGAGTGGACAACATCTCTAGCTGTCCAGCTGGGAGATGTGGTGGGTCCAGGCTGTCTGCCTGGTGTGCACCGCTCCCTAGCCACTGACTGGCCAGGCCCTTCCCCCTGAAGGTGCTGCCTTGGGTGGACACTCATCAGGTGGGGCAGGCTGGCCCCTCCCCTGCAGCCAGGTGCTCTACCGGGAGGGTGCTGGGCCACCGCCTCCCAGAGCTGCGTCTGCGTCCTTCTCCACACTGGTCAGTCCAGGGCAGCGTGGCCACACAGCACGCCCTGGGGGCTCTGGGCTCAGATGTCCCGTTCCAGCGCCCCCCCCCCCCCCATCCCATGAAGCCAGCACTCATGAGTGTATTTTGAGAAACTTAATTTACTTCCATGGTGAGAGCTGAAGACGAGTTGGAGCCTGGTCTCCTGCCCCTGCCCTCGCCCCCCAGAGGAAGAGGGGCTCCCGGAGAGGGCCTGCTGAGGCCTGAGGCCCAGGGTGCTCATGGGCTGGGGTCCACGCTGGCAGGACAGCAAACGCACACGGTGAGGTCACTTGGGCGGCCGGTAGGCCAGCTTCCTGCTCTTGAGCACGGACCACTTGTGCCTCTTCATGGCATAGATCAGCGGCAGCAGCAAGCCCATCATCATCAGCATCTGGGGACAGGGCGGGCTCAGGAGGCGGCCCCAGGGGCCCTGCCCAGCCGGGGCCCTGCCCAGCCTGGGCCGCGCCCACTGCCCTGGCCCTCACCTTGAGTCCCATGCGCTTGCGGTGGTCGTGCTCTGGTTCAGATGCCCAGCGCAGGAAGGTGCACACGTCCTTGGCTACCTGGGACATGGTGGCCGGGGTACCTGGGCCAAGCACAAGGGGTGAGGGCTGCCCCAGGGGGTCCTGGGCTACGGGTGGCAGGTGCTGCCCACCTGCCAGGGCCCCAGAACATGGGGGACACAGCCCCAGCCCGCCCACCCTGGAGGGGCCTCTCACCGTCATCGAACTCCA